ACTCTTCCTTCTGCATAGTAACTTACTTCTGCAACTACTTCATTGGGTAGTGACATAATAGTTTATTCTCCTATGAATGATGTTTCATACTTGTGGAAGCATGATTGCTAGGGCAAAGGTTAAATGCAATTTTGCTACACACTGATAAACTTCCTTTCCTAGAGGCTGAAACAGTTCTGTGTTCCTACCACTAATACATGAGAGTGCCACTTTCCCCACAATCATACTAATAAAATGCGTGGTTAAGCTTTTGAATTTTGGCCAATCTGAAAGTTGTAAAATGTGATCTCAGTGTAGTTCTAATTTGTATTTCTCTTACAAATAGAAGTGAGCAACTTTTTTCAATGTTTAAGGTTCATTTTCCATCTTTGAGTTTCCGTTAGTATCTTTTGAAAAGGTAAAACCTTTTTTTTAGAGTTTAAAGGCATTAAACTGCATTCACTATGAAAAGCAAAGTGCAGATCCAACCCTCCAGGATTGGAGGCAGGCAAATTCTGAATTCTGTCCTTAACTTTTTCTTCTAAGAAGTTTATGCCATACATCTCCAGTTCAGGGATAAAAATCACAAATAGGATTAAAATAATCTCTTTGATTATTGTCTCTTCTATTAATACATACTCCATTTCTCTGCACCTACAGTAAAAATAATCAATTTGATGCTGAATTTTTCTTTTAAAAGGAAATACCATTATAAAAAGATCTGTAATGGCTCGGTGCCTATAGCTCAGAGGTTAGGGCACTGGCCACATAGGCCGAGGCTGGCAGGTTTGAACCCCACCCCAGGCCTGCTAAACAATGACAACTACAACAAAAAAATAGCTGGATGTTGTAGTGGATGCCTGTAGTCCCATTTACCTGGGAGGCTGAGGCAAGAGAATTGCTTAAGCCAAAGAGTTTGAGGTTGCTGTGAATTGTGATGCAATGGCAGTCTACGGAGAGCGACACACTGAGACTGTTTCAAAAAAAAAAAGATCTGTAATGTCAAATCTTGAGAAAGATAATCAGTAGTAAAAAGTTTGATTCTTTTATATTCATGAGCAAAATTACTGGTTATATGTCCAATATTCTTGTTTCCTTTGTTTAACTAAGAAAGTGGCTGCTTTTCTTCAAAGGGTCTCTGATCACATCTAGCTTTTTCTCAGCCAAACTGAACAGCCTCCAGAAGAACTGTTGATATTGAAATTTTGTTGGACAAAGCCTTCTAGCTCAGAGAAGTGGTATGCTCATAAGGGTGTGGAAGAACCTCTTTTTTAAGAAACATTCTGGCTTCCCACCAATCAATCCTCTCTTCTCACTGTAGATTTTCTTTAAACTCTGCTTACACTTTCCCTTTCCATACCAGTTGGATAACTTTTGAAATAAACATATCTTCCTGTGCAGTACACTGCAGAGCTGAGCATTCTTCCAAAGGGAAGGAGAAATCCTGCTGCTTCTCTTCACACAATCTAGTTGAACTCTAGGCATGGCAGCTATGCCCAAGAGGAGATGACTTTGCAGAAAATTAACACCACCACTTGCAACTATAATAAGACCTTTTTTCCATGTCAATTGTTGGAAAAACCAGCAGGGAAGAGACTTACTAGAGAAGAGATATGGGTTTGGACATAGGATACGGCTGTGGAAACAAAGAGAAGCCACCAAGAAACATATAAAGTATAATACCAAGAACGAATCCTAGTGTAAACAATGGACTTTGGTTGACAATGATTTGCCACTGTAGGTAGTAACAAACGTACCATTCTGGTGGAGGATGTTGATAATGGGGGAAGCTGTGGAGATGTGGGGGCAGGAGGTGTATGGAAAGGAAATCTCTGTACCTTCTGCTCATTGTTTTTTTTAAAAGACAGAACCTTGCTCTGTCATCCAGGCTGGAGTGCAGTGGTGTGATCATAGCTTGGTATAACCTCAAACTCTTGGGCTCAAGCAATCCTCCTGCTTCAGCCTTCCAAGTAGCTAGGACTTCAGAAGTATACCCCTGTGCCTGGCTAACTTTTTGCTCAATTTTGCTGTGAACCTAACTCTAAAAAATAAAAGTCTATACATAATATATATGTGAGTGTATATAAATAAATACATACATATAAAAGTGAAAATGACTGTTATATTAGAAGGCAACATTATATAACAAAGGCAACAGTGATTACTTGTCTTCTGATAACAATTAAATATAATAATTGACTGTCTTCTAAAATTTTCTACAACGGCACAAATTATTTCTGTAATGAGAAAAAAAAAAAACCCTCAAGGTTGGGTGCAGTAGCTCAGGCCTGTAATCCTAGCACTCTTGGAGACCAAGGTGGGTGGATTGCCTGAGCTTACAGGTTGGAAACCAGCCTGAGCCAGAGCAAGACCTTGTCTCTAAAAATAGCCTGGCACTGTGGCGGGTGCTTGTAGTCCCAGGTACTTGGGAGGCTGAGGCAAGAGAATCACTTGAGCCCAGGAGTTAGAGGTTGCTGTGAGCTATAATGACATGGCCCTCTACTGAGGGTGACATAGTGAGAGATTGTCTCAAAAGAAACAAAAAACCTCAAGACAGAAGAAGATGCCTAAAATCATATCATCAAGACATAGGATGAATCTACAAATACTCAAAAATGTATTTGTAGTTGATTAGAGAAATATAATTTGGGGGGAATTAGATTGTTCTTTCTGCTTAGAGTACTATTAAAATTTGCTTCTATGCCTTAAAATATACCACTTGAGGAGGAAACAGTTTTTAGTGGGTTGCATCAGATATACAGAGAAGTATGCCTGAAATAAAACAGGTTGGTCAGTCAGAAATTAACTGTATTTGATATTTACCATGTCTACATTGGTCTAAGACAGGTGTTCAAATTCCAGTTCAATGGGAAGGTGACTTCCAGGTTTATAACTTTGGTCATTTTCTAACATGAGCATTTTGGGGCTATAGTCATTTGCCCTTCATAAAAATTAGGTTAACAAGGAGAGAGTTGAGGGCATGGCTCATTTGAATGAAAGATTCGTAAGTTATCTATAGATAGCATAAAAATTCTTTCTGACAATACAAGAGCCAGATATGTTTAAATCCTTGCGGAAGTATATATAAGAAACAACAAAGCCAGGTGCCTTATAAATGGAAAGCCAATGACAATTCTGCAGTATGATCTGTGTTCAGAAATAACAATGCATGTTGCATTCTGGTCAAATTAAAGTAATGGAAAAAACATGCAGATTTTTGTGAGTAATTTCATAGCTATATACCACTATGATTCATTCTAGAGATAACATATAATAAACTATCAAGCAGTTATTTCAAGGCACAAGCTTTCAATGACATAAAGACTGCCTCATGAAATAACCTTTTGAATATTCAGAGTGAGGTGATCCAGTTTAGTCAGTTCCTGTGCTTTTCTATTTCCCAACTTCTACTCATTTCAGTTCACAAATGTCTTCCCCAGAGAAAGGAAACGAAATTCAAATGAATTTATTTTATTTTTTTTGAGACAGTCTCACTATGTCACTCTTAGTACTGTGGTGTTATAGCTCACAGCAACCTTAAACTCTTTGGCTTAAGCGATTCTCTTGTTTCAGCCTCCCAAGTAGCTGGGACTACAGGTGCCCGCCACAACCCCTGGCTATTTTTTTGTTTGTTTGTTATAGTTGTCATTGTCCCTGGGCCAGGTTTGAACCCACCAGCCCCAGTGTATGTGGCTGGTGCTCTAGCTGCTGAACTATAGGCGCTGAGCCCGATTTTGTTTTTTTTTTAAATAAACTTTATACTTTATTTTTTGAGACAGAGTCTCTCACTGTTGCCTGAGTAGAGTGCCATGGCATCAGTGTAGCTTATAGCAACCTCAAACTGCTTGAGCAGTTCTCCTGCCTCAGCCTCCTGAGTAGCTGGTACTACAGGCATATACCACTATGCTTGGCTAGTTGCATGCTAGGATTATAGCTGTGAGACACCACGCCCAGCCTGATTTTGTTCTTTGTTAGCCTTTTTGGTCAAAGAGTATGAGAAGTGGACATAAAATAAGGTTTTAGCATTTTCCACTGACTTAAATTACCCTTGTTAACCTTGTTCCCAATACGTGGTACAGATAAAAACTGGAACCCTTAACATAAGAGAGAAAAGGATTTTAGAAGTTTTCCTAATCCATGTGTTGGAGAAGTCTCCTTGAGCTAATTACAAGGTCTTCGAATGTTTAGGAACCATGAGGAACAATTTTTAGTCTCTGACTTTTTAGTAATCACAAAAATATTGGGGGTGCTCAAAATATAGCTACCAAATTTTGTATGTTTAAAAGTCCAAATACTCTCTGTCTGCTCTGATGTATCACATCTTAGACACATTTGGCAGATTTGAAAGAGTGAGATTAAAGGATCTTCCTATTTGGACACACTGTATAAACTACTGTGGACTGGTTTGGTTTTGAATTTAAGTTTTGTTGCTGTTGTTTGTTTTTAAGAGAGTCTTGCTCTGTCACCCTAGGTAGAATGCAGTGGTGTCATTGTAGCTTACTGGAACCTCTGACTCCTGGGCCAAGCAATCCTCCTGCATCAGTTGCCTGAGTAGCTGGGACTATAGGCACAGGTCACAAGGCCTGGCTAATTTTTCTATTTTTAGCAGAGAGGAGATCTTCCTCTTGCTCAGGCTGGTTTCAAACTCCTGAGCTCAACGGATCCTCTTGCTTCAGCTTTCCAGAGTGCTAGGATTATAAGCATGGGTTCCTCACAAGGCTTCCCATCATAATAAATTTTAATCTACTAGTTTAATGTTGTTGAATGAGGACTTGGGAAGAGCTGAGCAGTGGCATACCATCATATAACATCCCCACCATATATTAAACATAAATAATCTTAACAATGCAGATATTACAATTGATAAAAGTAATTAGGAAGTAGTAAGGTTTCAATACTTATTACCTTTGTTTTTAAAATAAGTTACATTTTATTTAAACATAATAAAATTTAGCAGCTGCCCCCCACAAATTCACTTGGGCTAGCTTCCGCATAGCACTTAAAGTAGCCCTAAAACTTACCAAGAACACATGCTCAAAGATCTGTGTAGGGCTATCCATCTGACCAAGGATCACTATCATTTCATTGTCTATAAATTCCTTAAATTCCCTCAAGTTGCACACCATTTGCATTTCCAACTCTGTTCGGATCTGAAATAAAAATGACATGTTATACTAATCTCTATAAAGTCCTCCTGTACTTTCAATCATGTGCTATTTCTAGCCCCAACCTATTGTTATACCACCCCTAGCCTTGGAACAATGAGGACTTGAGGTCTCTTACCTCTTTAGATGTAATGTTTTCCAAATCCTTCTGCATCATAATCTCCCTCAATTTGGTTTTAATTAGCCTTTCTGTTCGCTCACGTTCAGTTGGTCTGAGAAGAGAAATAATGATTTTTCTTAAGCAGAAGTCTGAATAAGTTAATGAACGTACCATTTGATTATGTTTCCACTTTGGCAAGCCCTACCTCTATTACCCATAAATTTATATTGTAGAGGTATGGAAAAATAAAATCATGATTTTTAAAAGCTTATTTTCAGAATGTAAAGAATATAAACATATAGAAATTATTGCTTGAAGAGGTTGTAAGTGTCTAAAAGCTCTTAAACACATTCACGTGTATACGTCCATGATGGAGTGGACACAAATCTAGGAAACAGAGTATACTTTAATGGATGGCCACATCTATACTTTCATTTTTAAGTACCTCTAGGTATCATTTGATGAGCTAGAATATCAAGCTGGGTAGAGCAGTGGTATGACTCACTATGGAACGGGGTCTTCTGTGTAGCTAAAATGCCAACCTATGTGGATCATTCATTGCCATGCTTCTAGAAAATGGGGAAAGGGAGGAGTGATCTTGCAACTTCAATAAGGCAAATTCTCTTTGAAAATGAGTTGCAGGGATCAACTACCTAGAGTCCTTCCATCAAAGACACTTTCCCTTTCATGACAACTCTCACAATATCTCTGTGAAATTCTTACCTTCACTTTCCAGATAAAGGAAACAAACAGTTGAAAAGTTAAATGACATGCTGATAACTACACTAGCAGAAGAATCAGAACTCTCAGCCCACCCTAACACTCTACCTTCTGGATTATGTTGCTTCCCTTAGTTTTCTGATTCTGTTATAAATAAACTTAGTTATGGAACATTAATATGAAATCAAACTAGGTAGCAAACTCTCCAGTTACTAGAAAGGTACTGGTTCAATGTAACTGGATGCTTCTCTTTAAAAGCATTATTCCATATTATGCTGGATTTGAGTGAGGGTGACACAGAGCACTTTGTATCTCATCTCCACCCCACCCCCCCACCTACTCAAGAAAGGTATCTGCTCTGTACCTCCTTATTTGGAGATGGAAATGGACTAAGCCTTCAGGCATCCTGCCTGCCCTTGCTGCCTACAGCCTTATCTCAGGCTATAAAAATAGCTTCAGTAATTTCTAAAGATGGATGCTCCAACTCCACAACCTTGGGGTTCCTCACAATGGGCACTTAGTTTCTCATGAACCCTACAGAATACAGATAATATCTGTGCTATATATCCCTTCAATCAACCAAGGCATGCCTGTCTTGACTAGGATTAAAATTCTTATCCATGCTTCCTTTTTCTTTGACATGGCTAATGGTAGAAAGCAAATATATAATTTCAGTCTTCTATTAAAAAGAAATGCTGGGCTTGGTGCCTGTAGCTCAGCAAGTAGGGTGCTGGCCACATGTACTGAGGCTGGCCCAGGCCTGCTAAACAACACTGACAACTGCAACCAAAAAATTGCTGGGTGTTGTGGTGGGCACCTGTAGTCCGAGCCACTTGAGAGGCTGAGGCAAGAGAATTGCTTAAGCCCATGAGGTTGCTGTGAGCTGTGATGCCATGACACTTTACTGAGGCAACATAGTGAGATTGTCTAAAACAAACAAATAAAGAAACAAACAAAAAGAAATACTGGTAAAAAGAAATCTTAGCACCTGTGTGCATGGATTAAATTTCCTAGTTTCTTTCTTTCTTTCTTTTTGAGGCTAGAGTGCTACGGCATCAGCCTAGCTCACAGCAATCTCAATCTCCTGGGTTCAAGCAATCCTCTGCCCTGAGTAGCTGGGACTACAGGTGCCTGCCACAATGTCAGGTTAATTTTCCTATGTTTAGTAGAGATGGGGTTTTGTTCTTGTTCAGGCTGGTTTCAAACTCCTGAGCTCAAGGAATCTTCCTGTTTTGGCTGTTAAGATTACAGGCATGAGCCACTGCAATAGGCCAGATTCCCTAGTTTTTAAGCAATTTTTCCCTCAATCCCTCACGCCTGTTTGAGGCAGAGTGGTTTGGGAGTAGATAGACTTAGGTTTTTAATATCAGCCCTGCTACTTACTGGTGGTGTAACTTTGAACAAGTTCCTTCTTTTCACTGAGCCTCTTTGCTTTAACACAGGATAGGAATACTTGTCTCAAGAGATCTTTTTTTTGGCTAGGCATGGTGGCTCATGCCTGTAATCCTAGCACTCTGGGAGGCCAAGGTGGGTGGATTGCTTGAGTTCAGGAGTTCGAGACCAGTTTGAGCAAGAGCAAGACCCTGTCTCTGCTAAAAATAGGAAAAACCAGCAGGGCATTGTGGCGGGTGCCTATAGTCCTGGCTATGGCTACTTGGGAGGCTGAGGAAAGAGGATCCCTTGAGCCCAAGAGTTTGAAGTTGCCATGAGCTATGATGCCACGCTCTTCTATCTGGGGCAACAGAGTAAGACTAAAAACAAAAACCAAAACCCTAAAAACAGGAGGTTTTTTTTTTTTTTTTTTCCT